CTCTCTCTCTCTCTCTCTCTCTCTGTGTGTGTGTGTGTGTGTGTGTGTGTGTGTGCCCTGTCTACTTGATGTACATGTCTTGCCTTCCCACCCCCCTTCTCTCTCTCTCTCTCCTTTTCTCTCTCTCTTTGTATCTCTGTGCTCTGTCTTCTTGTTGTAAATGTTGTGCCTACATGCTCGTACGTGTTTTCTGTTGTTTCAAGAATTGATTCACTGACACGTGGCAACATGTGGGGGTAGTTATCCGTGGTGATTATCACCCGATCGTGGAACGACCACCATTTATACCTCTCTCTCTCTCTCTCTGTGTGTGTGTGTCGTTGGTATTTAACGCCATCTTCAGTTATAGGGCTTTTGTTGGTGGATATACAAGATTGCGTATGACCGACAGAATTGTTATGCGCGGAGCTCCTTCATGAATGCATGCATGCTGCAAGGAAGAAAAATGACACATCAATCTATTTTTACTAAGATTGGAAAGCTTCGAGAGGCGGCCAGGTTCCATCATGTCATATGCAGACTCGCAATTGAGGAGTACAGTAACTGGACGGTATGTTGGTAACAGTAACTGGACTGTACAGTAACTGGACGGTATATTGGTAACAGCAACTGGACTGTACAGTAACTGGACGGTAGTAACTGGATGGTATATTGGTAACAGTAACTGGATGGTATATTGGTAACAGTAACTGGTCGATACAGTAACTGAAGCACAGTAACTGGACGGTATATTGGTAACAGTAACTGTATTGTACAGTAACTGGACGGTATATTGGTAACAGTAATTGGAGTGCAGTAACTGGATGGTATATTGGTAACAGTAACGGGAGTGTACAGTAACTGAACGGCACATTTGTAACAGTAACTGGACAGGACGGTCTAATGGTAACAGTAACTGGTCGGTACAGTAACCGGAGGCGGCCTAACGGGTGGTGGAAGTAACAGACGGTTGAATCAGGGGGGGATTACATTACATGCGTGTATATAGTATATACATGTTGCCAGAAGGAACGGTGCCGTCGCTGTCATCATCAATGCACTGAAGGCCTGCCGGATGACCAGATGCAGACATATCTATGTCTTGGAAGGGAACAGACGGTGTTACTAGTATGTTTTCATGTTTTCAATCAATGGATGCTATCCCGACGTGCATATCCATCTGGCCTGCGTGCGATCCGTCCGTTGATCGCTGACTCATTGCACGCTGTTCTGTTCTCTCGATCTATGATCCTCTATGTTTTTGCCGGGGGATGGCGATATAGAATTGTTGGTCACGCTCTGGTCACGCTCCATATATATTTGTAGATGGATGGTGATATAGAAGGGTTGCTTCGTCTCTACTTTTTTTGGGGGGGGGCTTGTTTGTTTGTGGCAGAAAATGGGCGAGAAGACGTGATGGACTGTGCGACGATGACGGCGCAGAAGATGAGGCAGAGAATAATTGAGAAATCGGAGTTGATGGAGACGGAGAAGCTATTCAAAGAAGCGGGACTGGACTGGCCGCCCAAGATACCTGAAGAGGAGGTGGCGCTTGCTGCGGCCGTGGATCAAGACAAGAAGAAGAAGACGAGAAGATGACATTCACTCATCCTTTTATTCCATCGGCTTGTCAAGGACTCGGGCCGGCGCATGTTCGAATACAAGTTCATAGCACAGCGAAGTTCAGTCATCTTGTTTTTTTTTTTCGGTAGATTTGTTGTTTGCTTTTCATGTATCTTCCTGTCTTATACAAGAAGATTCATTTCAACTGGTGAGCAGTGGAGCAAGGGCTATAGTACTCTAGGGCCACGTGGAGTCTTTTTCTTTTTTTTGGCTTTTTGTGGGGATGCTGTTCGTGCAAAACGACAATGAGATCCGGCTGTGGTGTTCTTAGGGCCACGTGGAGTAGCTCTCAGTAGATCTTTTTTTTTTTTTGACGTTTTTGTGGGGTGCTGACATGCAGACATGTGTTCGAATCCAGATGGTGGAACTTCATGAGTAAAACCACTATCAGCTCAATGATTTTTTTTAACTATACTTTTCTCTCAATTTTCCTCACACTACCTACCTACCACTACTCCTACCTATAGGCATACGGGGAAACCCGTAGCATACCAGAGCCGTGTTTTACGGCCCCTCGAACCTGCAGGATACCGGCCAGGGGACGGCCGGTAGCACCAGGGATAAAGCGGACCAATCCCCCGTGCCTCCCCTCAGGCCCCTCCCCTACGAACATAGCAGACTCTGCTTGATGCCGATCGGGGGATCCAGTGGCCTATCTCTTGGGTAGCGGGTGCCAAGTAAGTCCAGGAAGGCATTATCAGCTCAATGATGATATGTCGAGGTTGTCGCTCTTTTAAACCACCAGTACTTGGCCCAGCTATTGAAGCCGAGCCTGAATATGCCCTGCGCGCCAATTTTTGCCGAGCCTGCGGGGAGTGGGAAAAAATACGGGACATCTGCTGCTGCAAGCAGGTACCGCCCCTTCCTTTAGACCTGCTGCCAGCAGATGGCCGCTCACGCATTCAATGCTCCCGGGAAGGATCTTCTTCCAAAAAAGAAAGCCAAAAAAAAAAAAAAGAGAAACGTGAACGCCGTGCAGCAGTGAAGCCAGATGCATGCGTCGAAGTTGCAACATTACACTGCCTCTGGGACCTGAGGCAATGAATGCTCCCCGTCTCTCACGGGGAGCAAGTGCAGAAACAGCCAACGATCTGATTGCCAAAAAAAAAAAAAAAAAAAACGAAAAGGGGGAAATGGGAAACCAGCATCTGAACGTGATTGCCCTAAGATTCATATAACGCCGTGCAGAAGTGAAGCCAGATACATTCTTGCCCCCCCCCCCCCAAAAAAAAATAAAAATAAAATGAAAAGAAAGGAAACCAACCATCTATCTTTATTTTTTCTCTGTTTTCTTTTTTGTTTCTTTGCCTCCTTGCTACCACTGTCCGCGGAAAACGTAGCACACCACCAGGACATCGTGCAGTCCTTTTGCCCCGTTTCCATGGGGCCACCAGCTCCCTCCCCCATTGCCATGCCAAGCCTTTGCCGAGGCGTGGGAAACGCATAGCGTTAACGCTTAGGGCCCGCGGCCGATGTATGGGCCAAGTACTGGTGGTTTAAAGAAAGAAAAAAAAGAAGAAAAAAGCAACTCGTGGAATGGGGAAGATACACCACTTTTTTTTTCTGCCACTACTTGGGCCAAAGACAAAAGATATGAAACTGCTTCCTTGTCCACGCGTATCCCGCTCCTGGCTCCAGAACTAACCAAATATACCAGAGACCCTAACTCAGTTGGTACACCAATAAACTGTGAAATACGGACCTGTGTTCGAATCCAGTTGATGGAACTTCACGAGTAAAACCACTATCAGCTCACCAAGAGAAGAGGATGATGACAGGGAGGGGCACAGGAAGGTGGCCAAGGAGTAGGGGAAGGTGGTCGGGGAGAGGCGTAGCGGAGCAGTGGGGGTGGTGATCATCTTTTCTTTTCTTTTCTTTTTGTCGTTTTTCGGGAAGAGGCGAAGGACAGCAGATAGGAAAAAGAAAGGGGRGGGGGGKGRGGKGGGGGGGGGGGGGGGGGGRGGACATGCACTGCTTTTTTTTTTCCGGGGTTATCAGCATGTGTATCGCCTTGGGCCTTGTTGTGCATGTCGAGAGTGGAGCGAGGCCACTATGTTCGTTTCTGGAGGCAGCAGCATCCGTTGGGCCTTCGCTCGGGCGCTCACCAAATGTGCAAAATGAGAATGAATCTTGCACTGGAACATTGGAAGGTACACAGCTGTTTTTGTACATTCTTTTTTTTTTTTTTTTTACTCCTGCTCATGGGCCCTGTTGCAGCCACGGCGGGCATCCGGTTGTTATTAGTAATTTATTTTACTATTTTGAACCACCACACTATATTTTTCTCTCAACTCCTTTTTTGCCCTTCGTCACCTACCTGCGGCTACTCCCAAGGCTATATAGTGGGCTATAAAGGAAACCCCTGCAAGCAAGCATAGCTATCTCTCATGGTGAAGGGGATATTGCATTTTGCCCCTTGCAATGGTGAAGGGGATATTGCATTTTTGCCCCTTGCGACGGTGAAGGGGATATTCCATTTTGCCCCTTGCGATGGTGAAGCGGATATTGCATTTTGCCCCTTGGCGTAGTAATTTAAAGGTGCAACAAGTTTGGCGGTGGGGGGAAAAAAAAGATGAGTGTCAGTACGCTAAACTCTCGAAGGAATACTTGCTGATGTTTCCTTTCAGCTATCGCGCGCTACTGTCCTCCCATGCATACAATAGACAATACAGTGCGTCGTCAATGTATGTGAAGCCATCTATTAAGCCTGGTACTGGCATCATGATTGTCCCCATAACTTTCTCTTTGTTTTCATTGTTTTCATTGGAGTGACAGGAGTGACAGTTCCTTGATACGCATTCAGCATGGAAACGACGACATTAATATTATTGAAGAAAAAAAACCGGATGGATTTTCACATTTCAAGTTTTCAACAACGCTTGTGCATTTGCTAAACGTGTCGGAGGTCACAACACAAGGCCACGCGCCGCTCCTGTCGAAATGTGCAAAAGGAGAGTGAATCTTCCACTAGATCATGGAAAGATACACCGTCATGAATTTTGTGTTTTGTGTATGTCGAGAGTAGTGGAGCGAGACTCATACTCTGCATGGTCGACATCATGCCAGACATGCCAGTGATGCGTGCGCTATCTACGACTGAAGCACAATGCTGTCAAAGCACCCTCGAGATGAACTCTATTGAACCGGGCTTGTACCTTTC